CCGGGAGGGATCTACTCTAAAGGTGTTAGAAAACAGGTGCCGCGGAATACATGAGTCTGACAAACGAGATGTGCAGTATGGCTTCAAGTAAGATTGAAGTAATGCTGACCAGATTTCCGCCTTACTTCAGAATTCTGAGAAATCATGGCAGTTCTTTAATCCGGCTTATACGTATTTTGTGGAAGTAGAGAAAGCCCATGTCCGGATCCCGCGCAACAAGCCATTGGCATTCGTGTAACTGTCAGTGGCCAGTTGCCATGAATCATCCAGTCATTACATGTCAATAGCAGGTACTGCGTCAGAGGAAATGGCGTTACGTCAAAAACTTTCACTGTGGGCACTGGTCACTGCCAAGGCTGTGTTATGTTCCTCCTTGTATGTATTGTACATGGATAGAATAGTCAGGAGCAGACAGGTCGAAAATGAGTGTTGATTGCAGACGAATGTGTTTTGTTGCCATCTTCTGAAACACGTCTCCAGCGCTGTCTACAACGCTTAGCAGTCGAGTACAACGTGGCCGACATCCATGTGAACGTATTTAAAGCATATAGAGTAGTGTTTCCTCGTTCTCCGATACTCTGTGCTCTGCGCTAAATAGAGAACTACTGGAACAGATGGAGAAATCCACGTTTCTTGTGTTGTCCGATGATGGAGAGTGCGAGGAGGAGATCGATTGAAGACTCAGAATGGCCAGTAATGTTCGGCGACGATGACCTACTGTGCATCGTCATGATGAATTCAGGACCAAGTAAGAAAATGTTATTGTCTGTACTAAAGTGGATCTTCATTCCGACATTCGTATGCGTTAATGAGTCATGGGACTACCGAAAAACTTTGATCTGAGGTACAAGCGGAGGAAATGAACTTTCTGAGACGCATCGGTATGGTGTTGAGTACAAATGAGTATCTGATAGATCCTCAATATACAACTGCTATTTCGTCAGACTGAGGTATCACAGCAGTGGAGAGCTAAGCACGTATCACGAACGCTTGGAGTAAGGGAAGTGAAACAGCTATTGCCTGCCTAATCGATCAGTCAG